GGGAGAGAGAGACTAACTCTCTTTCTCTCTCTAATATATATAGATAAATGTTCATATATAGTCTGGCTCTGTATATATATTCCTTCTTTCGTCTCGAATTGGCCCTGTATTATCTCGCCTTGGATTCTGCAGAGAGAGAGGGGTGAGACAGACAGAAACACCATGAGTCTCTTTGGCCTGGGAAGCAGGTTTGTTTTGCTTAGGATCTCAATTTTAAATCCCATATGTTGAAAATTAATTCTTCTTTTTTTTCCTTTTCATTCAGTCGATCATAATCTGTTTTCAGGATCATGAATTCTATAAAATTCAACCGTTTTTTTTTTGTTTTGCCTTTTTTTTTCATTCTTGGTTGCATCATAAATCAGAGAGCTTTTCCCACCATAGCTCTGTTATATTTGGCCTTGCTAGAGGTGTCTGCTACATGGGCATCAAATTAGATATGTGGTTTTGTTTACTTATTATTTACAAATTATGTGGGATCAGACAAAAGGGTTATTTGTTTTTGTTGTTTCTTGCCTTTGAGACATATCAAAATTCTTACTTTGTTTTTTGTTTGAATTTGGAAGACGTTACCTTTTTTTTTCCCCTGAATTCCATCTTTGATTGTGCAGAAACCAAAAGACATTTCGGCCTAAAAAGAGTGCTCCATCAGGAAGCAAGGTTGGTGTTATAACTTATATATATATATATACCTCAATTCAATTCCTTATGGTCACTTAGTCCTGTGATTTGTATCTTTTTACTTTGTCAAAGGTTTATTTTTGTTTTATCTGATGGAAGCAATATATATTATGTTGTTGGAATGCAGGGTGCCCAGCTTCAAAAACACATTGATGCAACTTTGGGCAGTGGGAACCTGAGGGAGGCCGTTCGTCTGCCTCCCGGAGAAGATATAAATGAGTGGCTGGCAGTAAACAGTAAGAACTTTGAATCACTTTCATTCTGAAATTCAAGATCATCATAATTATGATATTTCATTCAGCATATGACACCATGGTTCATAACTTCTTCTTTTGTTGTGTTTCATATTGTCTCTGCATGTTTATTTATGGGAGTTTCACTAAAATACCCAAAATGGGGGCTGAAATATTTATTTATCTGTCTGCTATTCACTGGGAAAATTGTTTTTGCTATATGTTTAACTTGTTTCAATTTCGTTTTTCTTTTACACAGCTGTTGATTTTTTCAACCAAGTGAACATTCTGTACGGTACTCTCACTGAATTCTGCACACCGGTCAATTGTCCGACAATGTCTGCGGGACCAAAGTATGGTTCTTGATCATCCAATCAAATCACTCTAGTTTTGATTGTTGAATTTATTCATTTTGATGATTTATCTTGATTATCAAGCTTCCTCCATTATCATGCATTGACTTCATACTTGAAAGAGAAAAGTCTTGCACCCTAAAATGATTTTTTTTACAAACTTGTTAGCTCCAATGGTGTGCTTGTGATCTAAGTGCTCAGTTTGGTTGAACTCTCCACAGGTACGAGTACAGATGGGCTGATGGAGTTAACATTAAGAAACCAATAGAGGTCTCTGCCCCAAAATATGTTGAGTATTTAATGGACTGGATTGAAAATCAGCTTGATGAGGAATCAATCTTTCCTCAAAGATTGGGTAAGCAGAAAAATTCTTAATGAAGCTAAGGCATAAAGTACTAGTTTCTATTTATAACCATTGCACAATACAAACACCATCAACTAATTTGCTGTTATGTGTTACAGGGGCACCCTTTCCAGCCAACTTCCAAGATGTTGTCAAGACCATTTTCAAGCGATTGTTCCGTGTCTATGCGCATATCTATCACTCTCATTTTCAGAAAATTGTGAGCTTGAAGGAAGAAGCTCATCTCAATACTTGCTTCAAGCATTTTGTTCTCTTCACATGGGTAAGTTTCATTTTAATTTGGGTTGTGTTGCTCGTTGGTCAATATAGACCGGTTTTATATGGGCCAAGATACACTGTTGTGATGCAGGAATTCCACTTGATTGACAAAGGGGAGCTTGCACCTCTTCAGGACCTTGTTGAGTCCATTCTACAGCCCAAGTGATTGTTCAAATTTTGTCTTTTTTTTGGGGTACTATTATGGATATGGGTACACATTTTTGCCAGCTTCTGCTTGCCCATGTAATTTTTGTGCAATGAGATGCCTTCTATTAAGCACCCTCTTCTGTTTCTTCTCTATCCCTCTCCTGTCCTTGTGAAGAGCCATTCTTAGTTCTTGTGAATTTGAAGGGAACTGTTTCTGGTTGTAATTTTTTAATTTCAGGCAATTGTTATCCTTGTCAAATTCTGTTTGTGTAAAGCTGCCAAAATGGCCATTCATACACCAATTTGGATGATTGCATATAATTGGTAATTTCATTCAAGGTTACTTTTAAAACCAAATAGTACTCTCTCAACCTCCCAGAGCAGCTGAACAAATTAATAATGAGAAATTTATCATTTGAAAAAGAAAAAAATAATGAGCTTTTGTAACCCCATTTGATGTTTAAAATGTGAACCACTTCTCATATTATGGTTTCATCAGGACAAAAGAAAAAAAAAATCCTCAAGGTACAGCTACAAGAAGAGAGGATAGATGATCAGTCATGATAAGGAAAAGATGCTGGTTAGAAAATTGATATTCTTTGAATTATATTTTTGTACTACTGCACATTCCATTCAGTATCATCCCTTGTATTCCTATCGATTTTTCGAACTTCATGATACATTAAACCCCAACATCCCACGCCCCTCCTAAAAAAAAATGTTTTGAACGAAAAAAGGAAAATTAATAGCAAAAGAAAACACCAGTGTTCTTTAACGGTTGTGGTACAGTGGTAAGGAGGTTTCTCTATGTGTTTTGTTGTATCGATCTTTACTTTCCAGTAGTGGTAATGTACACCTGACTTCTGTGTTCACCCTCAGATTAGGCTGCAACAACTTCTGGTCTATGTTCCACACTGCTCCGGGATTTTTTTTACCCTGGTGAGCACAGCACGTACACTTGCCGACCAACCAACCTACCAATTCTCTTTCAAAATTGAAATTTATGATTTCCAATTCGTCCGAAATAATGGCAACACACACCTTGATGTTTTTGCATGCTCTGATCTCACACCATGAAATAATGCAAAACCTGTTAGCTGGCCTCTACTTTTTCCATCTTGAGTCGCAAATACAGCCTGGAAAAGGATTTGCATAAAAGCTTTCCTCCAGCTTTGGAAACTCTCCTGGCTCCCTCAAATATGGAGCTCCAACTCTGTCTATGTGAAGCTTTTTCACTTTCGAACTAAATTTCTTCCAAGAGATTTTTCCTTCATCAAACTCATCAACAAGTTTAACAAAATTCATCCTGCATCAACAATGAAATGACAATTATGGTATGCTGTCATGAAAGAAAACTCAAAATAGATATAATAAATAAAAAACCACAGTATCAACATGCTAAAAGCAGTTGTGAGAATACAGGTTATAAAATTACCTGTCTGGATTGATGGTCTTCTTAAAATTCTCAAAGCGCCTATGACCTTGCACAGCTTTTGCCATGTTTCCATCATAAGTATAAAGAAAAACATCACTCTGTAAAGCAACAACATAGTCTATGCCAGCCAACATGTTCTGATGATTCTTGTATGGACTCAGCTCTTCTTCTGTCGCGAGAGTGGAATGGGAGAAGATGTGGGGGAAGTCATCCTCAAGATATTGCATACTTCCATTCCCATAAGCTTCACCAGCTACCAAGTAAATCCTGGTGCTGGATGGGAAACCCAACCCCCTGAGCAGAAGTGAAGTCTCCCTAGGGGTCAATGGGCATCCCCCAAGCAACCTTCTCTCTGTCCCATTAATCTCTTTCTCCTTCCAGTGACTGACTTCATAGCGCATGCTCTGTAGTTCATCATCCTCTTCTGCTGTCAAACTATGACTGCAGCCCGTAAATGCAAGCATATCCTTCTCATACCTGTAGTAAATATATAGAGATTACAATCTGTATAAAAGGAGGGAGACAAGTTTAAAATAAATTGCTTCAATCACCCTACATTTCAAAGAAAAGAAACAAAAACCTACTTTTACTAATGCAAATCCATTATATATTGCAGTATAAATATTTATTACAAGGCCTCTTGATCTCTGAAAGATGACTCACGCCATACACACCAAAAGAGTAAAATCGTCCATCTAATATTAAATTATGAAATTATCAAGACTTGCCTCAAATGGAGAGCAAGATAAGGGCCTCCATTCTGCCTCATTCTAGAAACTAAGGTTTTTCCAATCTCTTCTATTGGAGCTGAATATTTCAATGCCCTGTAATTCACGCGACACCTCAGCCTTTGAATGGAACTTGGGATGCCATTGTTGGAAATCCGAGAATCGGTATGAGTGAAATAGATAACTTTGTGCTGCTTCAACAGTGGGAGGACCTCCGACTTATAATAACTAGCCTGGACAGAAGAATGCAAATCAGCTGACAATACTTAAGTTAACAAATGGTAACAAATTATATGAGATACGTTGGGATAACAGTTAAGCATAGCCACTCATATGCATTGAATGGAGCACACTTGTGCATCTAATAACCAAACATTTGGATCTCTTTGTAACACTTCTGTTTCTTGGGCTGCATGTGTGCCTTACAAGCATGTAACCCAGTGTGTGCAGACTGCAGAGAGAACACAACACCGCATCCCTAATGAATGCGCATCCCATGTTCGTCTACCAATATTGAAGAAATAAGCACTATTATAGGATATATGACTTTGTTATCGACCTTAGACCAAGATATTGGTGTTTTGTTGAAAGGCTCGATTCCAGCATAGGCAGGGGGTAATGTCTCAACTATGTGGATATCATCCTTCAGTGTCTCAATGAAGTGTTGCCAATCAAACAGATCTTTAAAACCACTGCAAGTAAATATGAAATAATTAGTTCAGAGAAAATCACTGGAAAAACTTGAATGCATGCCATCCGGAGCATAAGGAAACTCAAATAACTTTATGAGACATTTCAGCAGATCAATCCAGTTTCAGAACTACAGAAACAAACCTCTCATCAGCCCAGTAGGAGGTGTGATCGAGTGAAGGTAGGACAAGTGTTGCCTTCATAATCTTAGCAACAGCAACCATATCACAAATCTGCACTCTAAAATTTCCATGCATCAGACTATAGTTAATACTAATAGAATGCTAATCAGTAGAAATAATCAAAATACACAATAGACAGACCCCAAATCTCATCTGATTCAAGCCGCCGTTGGCATTTATAAGAAGGTAACCGTTGGTCATTGCATCTAGCTCTGCCAAAAGATGCAAGTGAGAGATGAGAGCATGAAAACCTCAGGTTCACAAATTGCACACACAAGGCAAAGAGAGAGAGAGAGAGAGAGAGAGAGAGAGAGAGAGAGAGAACCTTTTGTGAAAGAAAAACTTACCCCATAGAAGAATCAAGTCCGCCAAATGCCCAGCAAGGAAAAGCAAAATAATGCAATATTCCCATCATCAATCCTTGCAGAACCTGGTGGAGAGGGAGAGGGAGAGGGAGAGGGAGAGGGAGAGAGAGAGAGAGAGAGAGAGAAGTACAGTTGCTTAATTGCATGTGTTACATACTTTTGTGAATTTTTGGCAATTCAATGCACTGACTGAAATTCTCACTGTTGGGTCGGGACCAGATATCTGTGTACTGAACCAGAAGTGAATTTCAGAAATGAAACAACAAATGAACTAATGAAAAAGGCTCTTTTCCTCTGTTTGGTTCTCAAGTTCAGCCATTTTTTTAGCATTTTCCATTTCCATACCCCTCAATTATTTTCAGGAAACAAAAAGAGGAAAGAGAGAAACAAATATGATCAAGAGTCAAGACATAAGATTTAAGACTTACTTCAACGCTGTTCTCTTCACCAACCACACGGTTCACACCAGACGCCATCATTAGAGTTCGTTCAACATCACTTCCTCCATCCCTATGTCCATAATCATGAGAGCTTTGATCCATCCGATTCATAAGAGTGATGGAGTTAGAATCATCCTAAAATTATAAGGCAGAATGCTCAGTAGAAATTAAAATAAAATACAACTAAGAATGAAATGCAAGAGCAATCAGATAAACAGATAAATAGACAAACAATCCAACCCAGTAGCAACAATCTCACCAAGCAGCAAGCAACACATAGAAACATACACACAAGCATACATGAATATATTCAACTAATACTGTAATATTCAACCAACCTGATTGGACCTAGAACTTTCAATAGCAGATCCAAACCACCCAGTAGCACAAATCTTTAGAATACCAAGAAACAAGCACACCCCACAAAAGGCGAAGAACATCCAATGGCCAAGCTGCTTCTTCTCCCTCAAGCCCAAGTCCACCACCACAGATCCAATAGGCTTCCTCAGAAAGCCCCTCACAGCAACTCTCTGGCTCACATGGTGGGTCTGCTTCCTTTCCAAAACCGAGTCAAACCCATCACCCGGAACCGAGTTCCCACCAATTTCAGATCTGGGCGAGTTCAGCTGGAGGTCAATTTCGTACTCTCCACTACCAAACCCAACATTGCCGCTGCTGTTATTACTGTTACTATTGCTATGAGAGCTGCCATTGTTGGCGCTGGTGTTGGGGTTGCGCTTGAACGAGTGAGCTCGGCGAGTCATTGGGCCCGAAAACCTCGGGCTGTTGACTCGCTGAGAGACGCCATCGCTTGTGTTGTGGAGGTGAAGATGATGACCCATGTCATGAAATGCTTCAAAGTTCTGCCTTTATAGTGATCAGTGATATTTAATGCTATCATTGATGGTTGGGTTGAGTTGAGATCGCCATAAACGGACCACAATGAAAGAGAAAACAGAGCAGCAGTTGCAGCCAGCCTCTCTTATCTTTCTCTTTCTCTCTCTCTTTCTCTCTTTATCTGTGATGTGTCTGCAATTCTGAAATGCGGGTTTTGTGCTATGAATGATTGAAAATGGAAAATGGGTTATGGTGGAATTTTGGCTTTGTTTATTAGGCAATGGCCAGGCCAATGGCGATGTTGACACTAAAATGCGATTAGAATATCGGATCCACCTCCATGATCCATTTTTTCCTTTTTCTTTTTTAATGTAAAATTTCCATTTTTTATCTTTCTTTTTTAATGTAAAATTTCCATTTTTTTTTTCTTTTCTATTTTAGAGGAAAAGTGTTTTATGGTTGGAGTTATGAGTAGCTAGCTAGCAATGTAAGCATGTAAGAGGAAATTCATTTTTCTTAATAAATGAAACATAATCATGAAAATTTCTTTGAGTGTTGACTTTCCTTATCAGTGACTTTTGACTTTAAAATGATTTAGTGTTTTGGATAACTAATTTTTTAGAACAAATATGAAAATAAATTTTGCCAACGTGATCTAGTCCACTGTAAAAGGGTCTTGATTTGCAGATCAAAGGTCTTAGGTTCAAATTCCCACAGCACCATAGGTGTGTGTGAGAAATCATCCTCTCTATAGTTTAAACTATCGCTTGTACTAAAAAAAAAACTATGAATTTTTTTAAAAAAGTTTGATTATAAGTTAGTATTTGAATTGTCCATATTTGATTTGGAATGTGTAATCTTGGTAAGTTCAATGTAAACCAGGAGCGGATGCACATTGGGAAGGCTGGAAATTTGGCTAGGGACGCCATGGACGACCCTTGGATGCACACCAAGTGCTCGACGAAAGTCCCAGGTCATCAGCTATGCAGCTGTGCTGCCGTCGTTTTTTTTAAAATGAGCCTTGCCAAATGACGTCGTTTGGTCCAAGGCTCGGTCAAATTTTTTTTTTATTGACTTGGCCTCAAAACGACGTCATTTTAAGCCAAGTTTTTGAAAAAAAAAAAAAAAAGCTCCAACACTTACCCACCCGACTTTACACAGCAGCTCTCCAAACCCTTTTTCTTCCCAATTTCACTTCTTCTCTTCCTAGCCTCTCAAACCCTAACCTCCCAACCTCCATCACAACTCTTCGCCGATGACTTAGTGCCGACACCACCACCTTGCCGCCGTCCACCACCTTGCTTGCCACCGTCCACTGCTCTTTTTTTCAACAACAAGTAAGCAAAATTTATATTAATAAATTTATAATGATAATATATATTGTTGATATTTATATTTTTTTTTATGTAATAAAATTTATGGATATGAATATGATAATGTAAATTGATTGAGTTTATGCTTGATTGATAATGTTGATTGATTGAGTATATATTGAATATTGATTGATATTTGATATGATAATTTGGTATATGGAATATAGATTGATATGGGTTTAGGGGTATATTGAATATTGATAGAAATTAATGATTGATTGAATTAATTGTTTTGGGTTTAGGGTATATTGAATTTGGAAAAAAATTAATGATTGATTGAATTAATTGATTTGTAGATTATGGAACGATTCTTTAAAATAAAATTATCTACGGATAGTCCTTCTCCGTCTAATCCGGGTAGTTCAAATGCAAGACCAATTGAAGTAGATGAGTTATTGGCTAATCTTCAGGCAGACCCTGGACTAAGAACTCGAATGACGGATTATAGTCCTAATATTCGGGATGAAATCCTAAGAGCATATCTACAAAAGGGACCTTGTCAACCTAGAAGTTATAAATTCCCACAAACTAATCAGTCGGGAATTAATAGACGCTTCATTGCTCAATGGTTTGATGAGTATGATTGGTTGGAATATAGTATTGCTAAAGATGTTGTGTTTTGTCTTCATTGTTATCTCTTCAAGCCTAATTTTGATCAAGTGGGTGGTGATGTATTCACTGGGGTAGACTTTAATAATTGGAAGAAGGGGAAAGAAAGATTTAACTTTCATGTTGGACCGGTTGGTAGTGTTCACAACCAAGCTAGAGAAGTTGCTTACAATTTGATGCATCAAACTACACACATTGAAACAATGGTGATTAAGCAAACAAACCAAGCTCGCACGGCTTATCGTTCTTGCTTGAATGCATCACTTAAGTGCACTAGGTATTTGTTGCGACAAGGTCTTTCTTTTCATGGTCATGATGAAAGTGCACAATCAAGTAATAAGGGGAATTATTTAGAGCTTTTGCAATTTCTTGCAGATCATGATGAAAAAGTTAAGGCCGTTGTGTTGGAAAATGCTCCGGGCAATTTAAAGTTAATAGCTCCTTCAATTCAAAAGGATCTTGTCAATGCTTGTGCCAAAGAAACCATTGGTCTTATCTTGAGTGATGTAAAAGATAGATATTTTTCAATAATGGTGGATGAAGCACGTGATGTTTCAATAAAGGAGCAAATGGCGATGGTGTTGCGTTATGTGAACGACAAAGGACAAATAATTGAAAGGTTTGTGGGGGGTTCAACATGTAACCGACACTACTTCAAGTGCACTAAAGGAAGCCATTGATGAATTCTTTTCTTCCGCGAATTTGAGCTTTTCCAAGCTACGAGGACAAGGTTATGATGGAGCTAGTAATATGAGAGGTGAGTTCAATGGCCTTAAAATGAAGATTTTGAGAAAACAACCTTGTGCATTTTATGTTCATTGCTTTGCTCATCAACTTCAACTAGCTCTTGTTGTCATAGCAAAGAAAAACATTGATGTCAACTCTTTTTTCACAATGACTAATAGTTTGGTTAATGTTGTTGGAGCATCTTGTAAGCGTCGTGATGCACTTAGAGCACAATACCAAGAAGAGCTTGTGAAAGCTTTTGAAAATGATTGTTTTATAACGGGGCGAGGCTTAAATCAATAAACTATTCTCAAACGTGCCGGCGATACAAGATGGAACTCACATTATGGTACGTTGATTAGTATCATTTCTATGTTCCCATCTGTGGTGAATGTGCTTCAAATGATTATTGATGATAATCCTAATGATAGTTCGGGTGAAGCTTATAAGTTAAGAAGAGAAATACAATCTTTTGAGTTTGTGTTTCACTTGTTTTTAATGAAAGCTTTATTGGGAATAACAAATACTTTGTCTCTAGTATTGCAAAAGAAAGATCAAGACATTGTGAATGCAGTGAGTTTAGTGAAAACATGCAAGGAAAACCTACAGTTGATGAGGGATACTAAGTTTGAAGAATTGGTTGAGCAAGCTTCTTCGTTTTGTGACAAATACGATATTACAATTCCTACCAAGGATGAGGAATATGTAATTCCAGGGAGATCACGGCGTAATGCTCCAATGAAGATGAATTATCATCGTTATCATGTGGAGATCTTTATTCATGTAATTGATGGGCAACTTGCAGAATTAAATGATCGCTTCAACGAGGTAAGTACTGAGTTACTTACTTGTTTGGCATGCTTGAGTCCGAAAAATAACTTTGTAGCTTTTCACAAACGAAGGTTAGTTCGTATTGCTCAATTTTATCCTCAAGATTTTTCGGATCAAGACTTATTGATGCTTGAAGATCAACTTGGTGTTTATATTCATCATATGCATTCGAGTAGTGATTTTTCTCAATTGGAAATGATTAGTAGTCTTGCGGAAAAAATGGTGGAGAAAGGAATGCATGAAATATTTCCTTATGTGTATTTGCTTCTTACATTGGCTTTAGTTTTACCGGTTGCAACCGCTTCAGTGGAGAGGGCATTTTCCGCCATGAATATTATTAAAAATCCACTTCGCAACAGAATGGGAGATCAATGGTTGAATGATAGCTTGATTGTTTACATTGAGAGAGATGTTTTTGCTTGTATTGATAACGAAGCTATAATGCAACGTTTTCAAAATATGAAAACTTGTCGTGGACAATTGTAACTTGTATTATTGGTTTTGTTATGAATTATGAATGGAAGTACTATTTTTCTATCCTTTTAGTATTATTTCCTTTGTAAAAAATTTCTGAACTTTTACACTGTGACCCCTTGGCCACATAATCCTGGATCCACCACTGATGTAAACCCTCCCAAATTCCCAAAATTGTTTAGACAAGATTTCTTGTTAGATCAATATGATAATAAAATATTTTTTTTTATAAAAAGTCCCATTCATTTATTTTCTTTTATCAAAATGGCCATTCATTTTGCGTTTATAATTATTGTTTAGAAAGAGATACCATATGATCTAAGTCACAATGGTCCAAATGGGATGACAAGAAGAGCCTAGACATTTCTGGACGATGTCTTCTCTATTATTTTTATTTATTGTTTTTATTTGAACATATTTTGTATACTAACTTATATTCACTAGTGTAATATGTTCACAAGTGTAACATTTATAAAGAATTGAAAGGGACATCTTTGAATTATGTTCTACACGGAAAAGAACACAATATCTTATATTGAAGATAGTCTTCAGATCTATAAATTGAACATTTGTCTCATAATGCGTTGTCATTTTCCTATTAGAGTTTTGTGATTTTTTTTCTTTCATGTTGCACACTTTTACTATTATTCCCGTCGTATTGTTTTATTAATTAAGAAATTGTAACATTAAAACTAAAAACCGAGATCACGTAAGATTATCATCTTTTTTTTTTAACACAAGCGATATAACTAGCGGGAGGGGGTTTTTTACGCACACACACTATCAAGATGTCGTAAAGATTCAAATCTCAGACCATGAATTTGCAAGTAAAAGTCATTTTTCACTATGCTATACCCATTGATAATGTCATCTAATTTTCAAGCAAATTCTATCATGATTATAAACAAATCAAGTTATTAGCTTTTTGAATAAAGATGGTAAAGACAGTATGCATGCCCAGTTGGAATGATAGGCCTCGGTCCTCCCTAATACTTTTTCAGCCAACCAATGCTGACTTTTTTTACTTATTATGCCACCACACGCTTATAACTATTGTGTTGAGGGAGAGGGGTTTCCGAGTCATTTTATTTAAGTGCTTTAGAAGGAAGTTTCCATTTAAGAAATTTCTACGCGGCGAAGATTAACTGTCGTTTGTGGTTTAGAAAATTCATACTAGTTAGGTAGGTGACGGGACATGATATA